ACAGGTGCTGGCAAAATGTTAGGAAACAAAACTTCCAGAACACGGCCACACAGCCTGGAAGGCCCACACCAGCCAACTACAAAGGCCTTTCCTTGGAATTTGACTTATTTTTGTCTTTGAATTATCACTCTGCTCCTTTGGATAATGTATATTTGGTGAGTCTCCTTATGTATGCATAAAGTTTGGCCTGAATTTACAACTGTGAGATAAGTCTGACAGAGTAATATAAACTTAACCCATTAAGCACTGTCATTTATATGACCAGGGCACATACTTGACTTCTCAATTTCCTTCTCATATTGTTAGCAATTCATTGTAAATCAGGGATGGGTAGATTAGATGGAAAGTCAATCAATTACTCTTACATATCTGGAAATAAATCCAGGTAGATCTATCAGTTTGTTCCTATGCACAGGTTCTTAGTAGAGTACTGGGAATGTATTGGAGAAAAAGGTCTAACAATATTACTTCAGAGGAAAATCCATTTTTTCTATGCTCAGATTCTCAATTTGAATTGTCAACTTGTTAAGATTGTTTTTATTAATGATAAAATCAGTGTTCTCAGTTAAGTACTTTCTTAGAGGAATATCAGTATTTTGGTGAACATCAGATTCACAAAACTTGGTTTTGTTAACCCTTCATTGACAATAATTTGCACTTTCTGTAATACATAAATCAATTTCCTGGCATTATGGATTTTGCCTCTGATATAAAATAAATTTAATATTTTATAGCAAGTTATTTTACTGTACATTGAACTTAATAATTCTATCAAGGTTTTGTATTCATATATTAATATATAAATAAAAGATGTATATTTTCATTTCAAATACTAACAGAATTTAAAATACAGAAAAATGCATTTCTAGACATTTTCATTAAAACCAATGCAGTATGAAATACAGTACAGTATAGGCAGTCTCTGGGTTAAAAACAAGTTCTGTTTTTAAGTCTGACTTTAACTCGAATTGTATGTAAGTCAGAACTCGTACTTAAAAACGGGCTGCCTGTTACTAAAAATGGTGAACAGTGTTCTCCTTTCTGGAGCCAACAAATCACTGAAGTTGCATGATGTTTTCCTGAACCACTGAAAACAGGCTGTATATTAAAAACACGTGGCTTCAATTTTAGCAAGAAACATCTGATCACAAATGCCAATCTGGACTAAAAAAGCAGACTAAAGACACAAGATTGCTGAATGAAAATAGGAATCTACCATGACTAATATATTTGCAAATAACTGGAAAAATAAACAGCAATCTCAAAGAAGGAGAGACTTTGAGAAAGATGACAGAATTTGAAACACTTATATAGAATAAATATAATTTATTAGGCCACTGTTACTCAAATGCAATATGAAGATAGAACAAATAAAAAATTGCATGATAAAATGGATACAAAACTTCAAAGAACTAATAACAGTGGAACAATGGCAAAAATTATGGAAACAATCAATAAATTTTACACCAAACCACAATCTGAATTAAAATTGCTACAAAATGATCTATAGATGGTACATATAATTCTGTCAACAATTGCCAGATGGACCAATCATGCAACAATAAATGTTGGAAATGCCATAATAAAGAAGGAACATTTCATCATTTGTGATGGTCATGCAAAAAGATTTTAAGTACTGGAAAAAAATACACTAAAACATCCAGAAAATTCTGAAAATAGAATTTGAATTGAAACCACAAATATGTTTATAAGGTATGACCCCAGACAGCACTAACGAAAAGCATCACAATTTACTAAAATAGATGCTGACAGCAGCAAGACTCAATCTAACACAACACTGGAAAAGAAAAACCTTGCTGACAATACAAGATTGGGAGACCAACACTGAAGAATATGCAGTAATATAAAAATTGACTATACATATTCATAACATGTCTAACTAAATCCAACCAGAAATTACTCCCTTATATACAACATATTATGAAGCAAGGCAAGCTAAGACATTTAGAATATGGTTTTTGAAGAAAAAGAGAAACTTTTAAAAATAATTAAAATGACTTAAATAGAAATGAGCAATAATCATAGGTGTTTAAAGCATAATATATAAAAAAGTAAGTAGCAGTTAGCAATAAGGGAAAAAGAAGAGAAAAAAATAAAAGAGGCAGGGTCTATTTGAATGCTTTTTCTTATAATGTCTTTTATTTTTTTATTGTAATTGCTAAATCTCGTTTGATTTTTCACTTTAACCTTCATCTTAGTGCAAAGCTTATGCAACAGTAATAATATTAACAACAACAAAAAAGATAAATAACATAAATGAGTGAGGGATTACAATGTTATGTATATTTTTTATCTATGTATATGTATTCCTTTCCTTCTTTTTTGTTCTTTTTCTGCTGTTTTTCTACTTAATTAATAAAAATAAAAAATAAAAGAGAGGCAACCATCTGGTCCCATGATTATGTGACAGGTGAGAGTGCCAAGGCTGCATCTGGAACCTCATCTTGGATAGGCTAACTTGGAGGAATGGATTGGAATGTTTAGGAATATTAGTTGATCGACAGAAACCAAATTAGGGTGAGTGAAAGACCCCAGTTTATAAACAAAAGTCATGTAAGCGTGCTAATGTTATGAGCCTGTCACAGATTATAACCCTGCACAGGTTATAGAAACTGTTCAGATTGGGACCCAGCAAGAAGTTTCTCCCAGTGGTTTCTGGTCAACCAATATGATCTAATAGGGAAGATACTCCTTGAGGCTCATCCTTGAGGGACTGTCACTATCAAGAACCAGGAACGCATGCCTTTTCAGTAGTAGCCCCTCTGCTTTGGAATAGTGTTCCATTTAAGGTCAGGTCAGCACCAATCCTTCTGGCATTCAGGAAGGCTGCTAAGAGTCCTGGATGTTCCAGAAGGCCTTGGGAATTCACTGTATGGCAGGTCCCCTCCCTGCAGTAGGCAATTACTGTTTTGGGCGGGGGGTTCTTTGTTTTTATTTTTAATTCTCTCTAGCTTACTTTTGTATTATTGTAAACCACTCAGAGCTTTTATTGAGTAGCATATAAATTGCAGACATAAACTTGGGTCTTGATGTATTAACAGATACTTGACCCACTCTCTACTGGATTGCAAACATCAACAGTGTCATTCAAAACTGATCACCTTCTAAAATCTGGTGTCAAGAATCTTTCTCTTGATCCAAATCCATAAAAAAATGTAACATGGTAACAACAGTGAGAACATACTTGGCTGCAAATTTATAGCTTTCCATTTCTTTTTTCAAACATCTGTTTTCCCTCTCCAACTGTTGATTGCAGGTATAGGCATCTGGAACAAATCCAACATCTTTAGGTTCAAGCACACCCCTCTGCATCAATTCATACCTGAAATTAAGCAAATGAACTTTAGTCTTTTTTTTCCCCACTCTTCTTGGTTATAAGGATTACAAACACCATGAGCAGGAATATTTATCCATAGCACAGCACCTTCTTCTTGACTGTGGGTTACTTTAAATAGGAGCCACTACAGTACTATATTACTCATGACTAAATAGAATTACCCCCTAAAATAGGAACCTTTCCCCTATACTGGGAAACTACTGTTATCTCTCATTATTTTTGAGAGGTCAAGGAGAGGAAAAGAACATGGGTGGGAGGTATCAATCAAATATCTTCAGAATGCAGTATTGTAGCAGTTTCTAAAAGAAAAAAAATAGACCTAATTTTATTGGAAATAAAGATCAAGCAATACATATTTTCGGAATACATATTTATTGATCCACAGCTTCCTGTGGACACAGAAATTTTACAGAATTATACTCTTTCTAGAGGATACCGTTTGAATAAAGCAGATAGGGCAGAAGATATTTTTGGTATGCTGATAGATCAGTAATTGGGAATAAACAATGCATTACACTTTTGAAAAATCCTGTAAAATGTATTAGACTAAGTAATTCTTGATCTTATTCAGCAAAATAGTTCTTAGTTGTCTTAAGAAAGAACATAAGCTTAACATTAATTTGGGACTAGACTTTGCAAAAGCAGCAAAACTGAAATAAATAGTAAATTATAGTATAAGGAATATGGGGAGGGATTCAAATCTTTTTTAACATGTGCAAAGGCTGCTTAATCAGATTTTGAAATAGCTCATTGAATACAAATTTTGGAATCTTAGTAATGAAAATATTTTTAGTAGTAATGAAGAGGTCTGGAACTATCATGAATCTGTACAATTCAGATCTAAAAGCTGGTTTTAGAAACATGGAAGATATCCCAATGAACTAGCCTAGCAGGAAGTATGTTGATTAGCACTACTTTAGGAGCTGATTGCCTATTCCCATTTACTTAACTATGTGTGAAAAATGTAATCAAAAAATAAAGTCATGATGCAAACTACTGCAATTTAAGCACTCTTTATAATCTGTTTTTAATGAGACTAGAATTTTATGCTGAGTTGAAATTTGTCCTTGAACATGAGACTATAGCTTGTTATTTCACTATCTGGTCCATGCATCAAAAAATTGAATGACATGAAATCAACACTAAGTAATACAAAACCACTACAGTGCATAACACCATCACAATATCACAGCTCAAGAAATTATTACTTATCAGACAATGAAAATTCACAAGCATGTGGATAACACATTCAAGCCATTTGGGGCAAAGTTTATTTGCCCGTGATCTAAGCTTTTATGAAGGACTACAGGTAGACTACACATTCCGAAATAATAATGTGCAAATACATAATAAATACACATTTATACACATTAACTTATTTGTTAATGCACTTTTACTGCATTAACAAATATGTTATTGCAGTAAAAGAAAGCCTGCTTTTCAAGCAAAAATTAATGCATTTTTAAACACAGGTAACACTATTTCAATTTTACTCAATTTCTAAGCAGACACTTCATTTTTGACCTACCAAGAAGCCCAATGTATGGGCAATATTTCTAAGGCACTTTTCTACTAATGTATCTAAATCCATGTATAACTCCTCAAAAAACATCACAGAAATATATAAGAATAATCTGTTAAAACAAACAGTAAAGGAAAAAAAAGTTAAACATCTGGAAATTTTAAAAAAATCATGTTATGATCAAAACTATATAGGATTGGAACATGTCTTTTTCCTAAAGGAAAGCTATTCTGCAGCAGAGCTTTTCTGGTTCAAACACTGCAAAAATTTATCTCAGCAGAATCCAACATTTCAGTTGCTGACTGAACTGCAAGTTAAGGAGCCCCAGATTCAAAGCCTGCCTCTGTTATGGACTTGCTAGGCATACTGCAATCAGGAAAAACTGAAAGTTGACTATTAAAAAATGAAGGTGATGATATTTATTAAGCACTGCAACAATCATATATGTAACGGGAAAATTAATGGCAACCAAATAGAGCAGTCAAGATGAGATGATTCCCTCAAAAATGCAGTAATTCAGAGGAGTTGATGGCTTCACTTATCGACATTGTGATCTTAGTGACTAAGAATATTCAATGAGGTTGATTGTATTATGGCAATTAAAGCTATCAGAAAAAAAACTAGAGTTGATCCTTCAAAAAATAATACTTTTTTACATCTGAATAACATTGACAAAGATTTCTTCCTTTGTCCCATTCTTCCCTGAGAACAGTACAGATCTTTCTGTTTTTTCTGGTAGTACTCAGTACAGTACTGAGCTTGGCTGTGTAAAACTGCACAGAAGAAAGCAGAGGACAGTTTCAAACTTCACTTTTACTTCTCTTAAGGAATGGTTTCTCATGGGATCTCTATTCACTGTGTTTCTGGGGGAGTCTTGCCATCAGTACAAGTCATAACAGTTAGCTATCCCCCCCCCTTTTTTTTAACAATCTAAAAATGTCTAGCTCCAAACTGCTGTATCTATTCTCTGTAGTTTGGCAAGTTTTTGCCTTGACTGTTTTTAATTACTGTCTTCTTTTTTTTCAAGGAACAAGCAACAATTAAGGAAAACTGCAGACATAACTATAACAATAGCTGTCAATCTTTTTGTAACCACCCCAAGATAATGAGGACACAATTTTGCATTAAAAGCTCCTATTTTTCTGAAATATGGCAGGGCATGATCCACAATCATGCCTGCAAACATTTAATTCAAAGAACAAAATCAAAGGTATTCTAAAATGAAATCATAAGTCTCCAAATTTCACTGAAGCTAGATAGGTTTTACATTTTCACATGAATTCAGTGTGCTAAAAATTCCCCCCATTCTGTTAAAAGCTAAAAAAACCCACACCCAAATCCAATACAACCATTCTTTAAGACTTGATCCTCCAAAGCTACCAAAAGCAACATTAAAAATTTTTTAAACTAGTGGCACATTATACTGCAGGCAAATCGGGCATTTGCCTAGTGCCCCACAAAAAGAGGGGGAGACCCTTTCCTGCCCCACATCTGGTATTAAAACCTAAAAGCTACTCCTGGAGATGGTGGAGAATGGGGCACCCACTGCACGTTCTCAGATATAATTACAATATTTTCTTTGTAATACTTAAAACATTATACTGAAAGGAAAAACTGATTTTAAATATCTAAATAAATAATCAAAAAGCTATGTTCAAACCATGCTTATAAGCAGATTCATCTCCCTGCCTAATTTAATTAAATATTAATTCTTCAACAGGTTTTCATATCTGAAAGGGCCATTTAATCTGGGTTCTTATACATGTAAATGAATACATTTTCACAGCATTAATTATTTGCTCATCCCATTAGTGTTTCATCACAGCATGGATCAGCTAGCTGTATATTACCAAATGAAAGATACTTGTACAGAGAGAAAATTAATAACTGTAATTTGACTTACATTAATGATTAACACTTTAAAGTTATTTATAAAATATGCACACCTATATAGCTGCATACTTTTTCAGGGTAAGGACAAAAAAAGAGTAAAACAAAGCATTTATAAAATATATATATCTAAATAGTCTTTCAATAGAATATTTACGAAAAGGAGTAAGAAATACTAAGTGGAAGAAAAATTAAAGGCCTAAGATAATAAATTGTAAATAAGCATTGCTAAAACTGCTTTACACCAACACCATTCACTATACCTCTCCTTTCATTTCTTTCCTTATAAATCATATCCATATACAGCTTTATATTAATAAATTGTAAATAAGCATTGCTAAAACTGCTTTACACCAACACCATTCACTATACCTCTCCTTTCATTTCTTTCCTTATAAATCATATCCATATACAGCTTTATATTAATAAATTGTAAATAAGCATTGCTAAAACTGCTTTACACCAACACCATTCACTATACCTCTCCTTTCATTTCTTTCCTTATAAATCATATCCATATACAGCTTTATATATTATCTTTTATTTTTTTAAACTTATCTGTCTCTTTTCAAAGTTTTCATTCACTCTGTTCAACCATACCTTTCTCTCAAGCCATGCACTCTTCCTTCACATATATGTTTTGCAATTTGATTACAATTCATTTTCTCTACATTATTATTTACATACAAGTTCAGTTTCTAAAGCCACCAACTCACAAAGTTATTTTGGGCAGTTTATAAAGGATTTAAAAAGACAAACAGATAAAATACATAAATATCACACCATAAAGATTTTGCCAGATGTCATTACTTTTTCTGTGGGCAAGTCTTAGTGGACATATACTGTATACTATATGAAAAACGTAATGCTGTTTAGAAAGTAAACAATGTACTTCTTTCATACTGGTCACTCACTTTTGTATCTGACCCACATTCATTCAGCATGTAAGGTTTACCCCATCGTCTCAGAGAAACTCTCATGAGACATGTGTTCAGCAGTTTACTCAAGCATAACACTCAAGCATAATGTAAGTAAGTACAGACAAAGCCAGGATTGGCTTGGCACGTCTTACAATGTATTTTATATCTTCCCCTGTTCCTGCGCTTTTCCCCGTTGCTTAGTTACAGATTATCCGCAGTAATCCCCCAACCCCCCCTCCTCCAAATGGCAGATTCAGCCTGGTGCTTTGTCTTTATGATTGCTGTCTATGGGTTGTGCTGTTGTTGTCTTTGTTGGTTTCCCCAGTTGCGCAAAGCCCTGAGTTCTCCATATTGCTTCGCTTCCGAGCCTCTGCACTTTCCTTTGTTTGGAGCGCCTGAGTTGATACAAAGTATCCACTTGCAGTTTTAGTTAAGCACCGCCACCTGCCAGTAATCAGTTCATGGTTTCACTTCCCCTTTTCCTCTGCTAGTGCCTGGGCAGTGAAATTGACTAGGCGAAATTGAGCATTGCTTTCGCTGTGCTGGCTGAATCTGACACAGCAGCCATTCATTCTTGACCGTCTCTCTTGTTCTACCACACATCCTTCTTCATTGCCCCTTTCCCACTGCATTCAACTTACTTTAATGTTTCT